TTTGAGGGTTTAGGGCTTAGGTTGTTCGGATCCTAGGGTTTCTTGTTTTTAGGGTTTAGGGGTTGAGGGGTTTAGGGTTTAGGGTTTAGAGTATGTTCTCAACGACCAGGTTGTTTGGATCCTAGGAGGGTAGAGGGTTTAGGGTAGAGCGTCTAGGGTTTAGGGTGGCTTTAGGGCTGGAGATTCCCGATTTGGGGGGCTCTGCGTTTAGAATGATTTAGGGTTTAGGGTTTAGGGCTTAGGGTTTAGGGGTTGAGGGGTTTAGGGTTTAGGGTCTAGGGTCTGGAGTTTAGGCTTGAGGGTTTAGGGTTTCCTGTGTTGAAACCAAGTTGTTTGGATCCTCGGGGAGACTTTCTGGGGTTTAGAACTTTGGGATTTTACGCTTTAAGGCTTGGGGGTTTCGAGCTTTGGGATTTGAGGCTTCTGTGCTTCGGGTTTAGGGCTACGGCCGTGCTTTGCCTTCGCGATTGTGGCATGGGCCTTTCTAGCCTGCGGGGTCAGGGGTACCGGGGCTTTTTGTTGAGCTGGGGTGCAGGTCTTGAAATATGGTGTGCTTCGGGGTCTTTCACCAGCAGGACGATTATTTACAAGGCCGAAGAAAAACCTGAGAAGGCTGTACGGGCTTAGTGTTTCTGGATTATGCTGCTTGGGGACCGTCGGCTCTTGGAGCATGAGGTTTAGGGCTTAGGGTGGCAGGTATTCTGAATCTGTGGTCATAGGGTCTCCCTAAACCCTAAACCCTAAACCCTTAAGGGTTTAGGGGCTAAGGCTCATAGGGTTTAGCTCTACACTCAACTTGACTCCACCGGGATGCAGTAAACTTCTCCAAGAAGGCCCTCACCTGACCGCGATAGCTTTGCACAGCTGAGGCCGAGACCCCTAGCTCAATAATATCCCTGTAGAGATATTACTCCTTAGCTTTGTGTAATTATATATATGTATACTATAGACTATAGTTAGCTTTGTGTAATTATATATAAGTATACTATAGACTATAGTATACCCCAAAACCCACCCAGAAGTAGGCTAGACGTGACAGTCATAGTAATGGTAACTCACTTGAAAGGCATTTGGAGGTTCGAAAGAAAGTTCGCACTATGGCAGCAACCCAAGAACAGCGAAACAACTGGAGCAGCAGCGCCAGCAGCAGCAGCATCATGGCCGACAACAAAGAATAACAAGTAGAGCAATTAACAGCCTCTTGCCGCATTCGTGCCGTATCCCGACTAATGGTCGGCGACTGGCGCCCAACCTAAAGCTACCGCAGTAGCCCAATCGCTAAAGATAGCAGAGTGCCAGGGCCCGGCGACTGCTATAGGGGCCTTAATAATTTTCATAGGGTTTTGGGGCCCCTTATGCTATAATTGTAGCAAGGTACCGCCAAAAGAAGTATTGGTAATTATTCAGGCCCCTTTGTTAAGCTTTTGGGGTCTTGGACTCAGATAAGGTCCCCAAAAGCCCTCTGGTTTACATCAACACCTGAAACACAAAAAAGCTGCATGAACACAGCAGCCAATTTGCAACTTCCGAAGTAGCTCGAAGCCTGCCCGCAAGTCCTGCATGCAACAGCAAAACCCGCGAAACCCTTACTGAACAATACACCCTAAACCCTACACAGTTCAGCCAGAAACCCAAACCCATTGGACCCGAAAGCCTCGACCCTCGACCTTTAACCCTAAACCCTAAACCCTAAACCCTAAACCCTACACCCTAAACCCTAAACCCTAAACCCTAATCCCTAAACCTTGAACCCTACACCAGCTTACGGTTGCGGGGTTGGTAAGACCCCGAAAGCCGCGTGAGGAGTGCTGGCCTCCTGCACCCGTTTCTTGTCCGCGGTTGGGACTCGTGTCGAGGCTTCGAAGTAGTACTGCGCCTGGGCTCCAAAAAAGGGGCTCTATAAGGGCTCTTTGGGTTGAGGGTTTTAGGGTTTTAGGTTTAGGGTTTCGGGGTTTAGGGTTTCGGGGTTTAGGGTTTAGGGTTTAGGGTTTTAGGGTTTTGGGTTTGGGCTTGTAGGGCTGTGAAGGTTCTAATTGGGGGTTACGATGCTCATAAACCTATAAACAAACAAAAGCCTGCATAAGGGCTCGAGAACGTGGTTTAGGGTTTAGGTTTTTGAGGTTCAGGGTTTAGGGGTTTGGAGGCTGCAGGGTTTGAAGTATTCACAGTGCCAGTGGGGTTTACGAGTTCGTCAATAGATCTCAGCCGGAAGGACTCGGCGAAAACCATGCGCAACCCTAGACCTCGCACCCTAAACCCTAAACCCTGAACCCTAGACACGGAATCATGCTACCCTCGACCTTAGGCCTTAGACCCAGCACCCTAAAGTAGAAGCCGGACATTCGGAACATCATCATTGAATCATCATTGTTATCCTGGGTCCCTTAGTCTAAAACCCTAAACCCTAAACCCTAAACCCTAAACCCTAAACCCTAACCCAAGCAAAAACCCATCAAAAGTCATCCTTCGAGTCTTGACCCACGTTTCAACTGCAGGGTTTACGCCGTTTACGCGACACCCCAAGCCCCCAAAACCTAGACTTTGGGCAGGGTTGCGCATGAAATCCTAGCATGGTAGGAAATGCCCTAAACCCTAAACCCTAAACCCTAAACGAAAACTTCTACTGGTTCTACTACCATCGCGCAGAGAGGCCTGAACTCCAAACTCGAGACCCTAAACCCTAAAGCCTAAACCTTCTACCCTCTGCCCTAAACCTTAAACCCTAAACCCAAACTACGCAAACCCGTAATTCCCCTGCAGCCTAAAACCCCGAACCCTAAAACCCCAAACCCTAAAACCCTGAACCCTAAAACCCTAAACCTAAAACCCTAAACCCTAAACTTGCAGGTTTGCCTTGAAGGTCTGCTTCACGTCGTTGATCTCCTTGGGCAACCGAAAAAAGTCGGACGCAAGTTTCCGGCAGTTCAGGGGTCTCGGCTTTAGCGTTTACGGGTTTAGTACGGGGTTTAGGGGTTCAGGGTTTAG